TTTTGATTGTTTTCTTTCATGCCTTTTGATGCACAATAATATTTTAAATAAAACATTCAATTGTTTTGCATCAGACAGACACTCATTGGTAGAAATGTCTAAAGTTTCCTTCAGAAATAGTTCATACTCTCCTGAAGTATATACAGTATTTACATTTTTATTCTTTAAACACTCTTTGTTTTCAGAACAATCATCGTGAAATGCCACAATACTAAATTATTAACCAATATAAATATATATTTATATCCTAATAGATATAGTCAAAGCTATTTTTTGTCTTTTCCACAAGTTCATGTTTGACTTCTACTAGGATTGTTTTCCTACATATGTGTAATTTACGTGCATGTTTGTTGTGATATAGCCAAGAATGTTTTAACACAGTTGGTAAGAAAAATATTTCTTTTATTTTGTAGTTGGCACTTTTGACTGAATTGTCTCGAGATCATGTTGGTGAAAAACATGGTTTTGTCCAAGTCTCCCAGGGGGATTCTGCCCTAAATAGTGTCTTCCAAAATGAGACTTTTCAGCTTCATCTCAATCCTCCTCCTCTTCTAGAAGACTAATCCTTGGCTATCAAGCATTGTGGGGGGGAAATACTGCAAATGTTTGCTGGTGGATCCAAAGGAAAAGGTAGCAGTATGTATTTTATGACTAACTGCAACAATGCAATCTTTGTGAGAACTACCTGTTTTGATCCTTAACAAAACAGAACATCATTGTCAAATATTCTAGTCCTTATGTCCACTGCTCTATGAATCCTATACTTTTTTCATTTAAACTCAGAGTAAAGAATGGAACTTTACATTGGTTATTGGTTATAAAGGCTACAATTCAAGACAGAACTGCCAGAACGTTTATGAGATTGCTTTCTCTAATGCTCTCAGTTGCTTCTGAAAATCTGTTAGCTCCTCCAGTTGCAACTCAAGAAATGTTGCTGTGACAGATGCTATTCCTTGGAAATTTAACATGCTAACATCATAAATGAGAAAATCTGTTAATGAAACACATTAGAATATACCATTCAGCCAACTAGATATTTGATGTCAATTTGTGTATATTCTGAGTACTTTCATGAGTGCCAGGTTTTCCATGGAGAGCTTACTGTTTCCAGTGTACCAAAAGAAACAAGCACATTACTCATTTATGATGGCTGCTCTCTTGCTGCCAAGTTGCATGGAAAAGATATCTTCTTCCATTATATATTGCCAGTTTCCTGAACCTTACCCATTTATCTTTATGAATTCACTAAAGGATTATCATGTTGTTATTTCTCCTCCTTATCTTTGCCACAGGAAAAAAACAACAATCTGGTGCAGGAATATATTTTTTAAAATGAATGTTTCTGATTCCTATAAATGATATTTAATAACCCTTTGTCTTTCCATTACTTACCATTTGTATAGACAGGAGCAAGTATAAATTAAAAGATATATAAAAACCAGAATTACACTTATATTAGACTATTTCATGGCTGAATTTATTTTGTCAGAAAATTGTTACCTCATATTTGCACATATTTTTCTATAAGTCACCAAAAGTATCATATCTGTTACTGTCCACTTCCATATTACCTTAACAAGTTAATATGGTTTTTTTTACAGTTAGAGACTATCAAAAATTATGAATTTATGTACTAAGTATGTACTAAGCCAATACAGGTAGTCCTTGAGTTAGGACCACAAGTGAGCCCAAAATTTATGAGGCTAAGTGAACCATTTGTTAAGCAAGTTTTATGACTTTTCTTGCCACAGTTGTTAAGTGAATCATTGTGGTTGTTAAGTGTGTAACATTGTTAAGTGAATCTGGATTCCCCATTGACTTTGCTTGTCAGAAGGTCACAAAAGAGAGATAATTCAGAATACAGAAAGTCCTTGACTTACAACCATTCATTTAGCGATAGTTTGAAAGTACAATGACACTGAAAAACAACAACCTGCAACTGATCTTTTGCACTTAGAACTGTTGCAGCATCCCCACACTCAAGTGATCAAAATTTGGGTGCTTGGCAACAGACACCTATTTACAATGGCTGCAGAGCCCTGGGGTCATTGATTGCCATTTGTGACAAAAAGATCAATAGAGAAAATTCTATTGAGTTTGCTTAATGATCACACAGTTCACTTAACTGCACTGATTTGCTTAATAACTGTGGCAAAGAGAAGTGGCTGCTTTTCATATTTAGCTTATATAAAAGAAGGAAAGGTCTCTGAAGACACTTAAAACCTTTACTTTTTCATTTTCACATGCATAGATAAATGGTCAAAATTTTTCATTAGTTGCTATTTGAATGAAAAAAAAAACCTGTCATATCCATGTTTTGAACATTGTTTTTATTTTATTTACAATCAGAAACCAAAAAGAAAAGAACATAATTACTGGAGTTCTCAATAACAACAGAAAAAGTATGATATGCCAAACACAAAATATTGTTTAAAAAAATTCTGCTTGCTGTATTTTACAAAGCATAATCAGAGCTAGAAAAGTTCTAAAAAAGATCAACCAGGAGTGTGAGCAGTTCTTTAGATGAAAGAAATGAATGCTGGCGTTTTGATAAATATAGTTTGAAAAGATTTCCCCCCTCCCTTTTCCACTAAACATTCTTAATGAGTAGAATGATAAAATATTCAGAAGACACAAAAGGAAACCCTTAATCATATAGTTTAACTATGGAATTTTCTGCCACGAGATATGATGATGGCTATTAAAGTAGATGATTAGTCATAATAATTAACAGAATAGAGTTATCAGTGCTACTTGATGGGCATATGTTTTCTCTGAGATCAGAAACAGTATATTTCTAATATTTAAGTTGTTGAGAAACAACAGTGAGAATTAATATGCTCATGTTCTGCCTTTAGGCTTCCCAAGAAGCTTCTACACAACATTTATATTAAACAAAAGTTTGAGATCCAACAGTAGAAAATAGTGGTGAATATAATAATATATTACTAGTTCCTTTTATTTTATATGTACCTCTCACAATGGGATGAGGATCTTTCTCCAACTATAATTCACACTGATCTTCAATGTAATAAGCTTTGAGGCCATTTGCACTTTCAGTTCTATGCTATGTACTAGTGTATACTAGTACTATTCTATACATACTGAAACACCATAATAATTTTGATTTTATATGAAGAATAATCTGAGTCCTACATCGAGGATGTGATTCAGAAATTGTGTTGCCATTTAATGTTTGTGGCCCAGACAGTTTCTTACATTTTGTCTTGCTATTCTCTAAAACAGTTTTTAAATAGGTTAAGTGATTTGTTAGTATCCCTAAAAAATAAAAATCTTGCAAAGTATTCATGAAAAAGAGATTATTTCAGCTTTACATCTCCAGAGCGCCCAGATTTAATGAGTTGGGCAGTATACAAACTGAATTAAACAAACTTTTTGGTGAATAAAAACAGGAATATATTTCAAGGCAAATATTAATATTAATCTTTATCTAAAGTGAAGATTCAGTGAAGGAACTCACCTGTCTTGTTTCATTTTAAATAATGTGAGTAGCAGAAAGAAAAGATTCTATTCTCAAGCTTCTCAGGGTCTTTATTAATTATGGGTTTGGATTAGTGACTTTCCATATTTGGCAAATAAATTAAAACTTCCAATACATTGAACCTTCTATAAAAGTTGAACCCTGAAAGATTTTATAAAAATAAATATCGGTAGCAATAGAAGGCTGTTAATCTACAACTATTATCCTTTGGGATTGTAGCAAAGAAATATTTAACATTTCTTAAAGCTTTTAGGCCTTTTTTAGACCATGGATGTGAATTTTGATTAAATACAAAAAATGTAGTTTGTAGTGCCATCTATTTATGATTATAAGAAGCTTCAAGTAAAATCAACTTTATGCCACTATTTTATTCATCCAATTGCAAGAGGTCATTCAAATTCAGTGTACATTATCCTTCTGAATTGCTACACTATATATAAAGCTGACGAAAGACCTGGCAAATATTGCTAGAACATATAAATGTTCCTCAAACTCTCGTTAAAACCTTCCAGATGATCCTGCTCAAATATATATAGTTTTTGTATATGATTTTTAAATTTATTATTAGACTCTTAAGTCTGTAGAGAGAACAGAAATCTTTATGCATTTTTGTTCATCTATTTTGGAAGTAAATAATATTTGGTAGAAGTACAAAATGTCTGGTAGATATTAGAGGAAAGGCAAAGTGGTTGTAGAGTTACCTGTATGAGAACTCAAATAATTACTAATGAAAAATTTTCCTTTCAAAAATTTATAGAACAACTTTATAGACTATGGTGTTAATGAAACAGAGGGGTAACTGAACCTGTAACACAACTCTTGTTTCTCAAGTGATGGTTGCTATGCTATGTCCAATTCAACTTACTTTACATATCAATGCACATTCACATATGATGAAAGATAACATCAAACACACCGTTTCACATTAAGACATGAACATTTGTAGTGCCACAAAACTGTGGAGAAGAAATCCACGTTACTCTATGGTTGTGCAAAAACAATCTTCACATTTATTATTTTGTGAGAAGTTTACATGAAACAATGATGTGCTCTTGAGAGTAGTTTGAGACACAGTATTTACTTGCTGAATCAGCCAACCAAATCCTGCATGGCTTCCACTGAGGAAATCTCCAGAGAAGCCAGGAACAAGACAACTTTGACTGTTGTGCTTAAGATTTTGAAACAGAGTAATTTTAAGAGATTGATATTGTGTGCAGCTATTGCTCCTTAATAGTCTGATCAAGAATACCTCATGTAAGTCTGTACTGATTTTCTCCAACTCTCATTTCTCAGTTCAGAATACATTCATCTAATCTTAGCCCAATTAGATCGTTGTGCCTTCTGCCCTGCAAAAAATATCACAATTCTTCAGTATAATAAACGTAACTAAAAGTGTTCCCTCAAAACCTGACCTGTTTCTGCTCTCAAATGTAATTTCCAATTCCTCTGTAGTCAGCTCTGGGATTCCCAAAAATTCCCAGTTCTTCCTTTTTTAAAAAAACACGAGATAGTCTGTCACAAACTAACCCAGTCAGACAAGCTATATTTTAAATCTTCAGTTCCAAATAATTTGAGTATATAATTGTATTTTATGCAGTTTCTTCTATAAAATCCATAAGAATTCTTAACATCACCTGAGAAAATCTTTAAGAATCCCGAGATAACACTTCTATAGTGAAACAACGTTCTCTTTAAAAATTAGAAGAATGCTGTAATTTTTCAGAACTACTAAGACAGGATTTACCTCTTATGATAGCTAAAGCTGTGTTTCTTCTTTCTTTTGGGGGGAATGGGGACTAGAAATACATTTTAGTATCACTTATCAGAATAAATAGTTTTTTTTACTTCTTAAGGTAATATTTGTATACTTTAAAGTACATATTAATTTTATCATTCATAATACACTGCAATCTAAATATTTTTCTAAAAGTGCCTATGTCTGAGTGTATGTATAAAAATCAGTTATTATGTGTCAGGATTGTATATAAAGAGCAGCATTCAACAACACAGCATAAGATAATCTAATACTGAGAGTTACAACTGTACATATTTATATGTTACCATTCTTAGCTAAACTTAATGGAAATTGAGTTAATTAAACCATTATAAAACAGGGCTGTATTTATTAATAGATGCCCTGGTGTTATAGGAAAAAAAATCAGTTATGTATCACAAAGGCGAATGCAAAAATGTTAGGAGGTAAAACATTTTCATCCACTGGTACATGACTATTTAAGTGTATTTGAAATTCTTACTTTAAAATATTGGGGGGGAAATGCACATTTACAGCTCAAAGGGCCATAATCCTTAAACTGATTAGCAGGGCTCTTCTGATAGGATAACCATATTGTGTAAACTTAAAATGGAGGCACAAATACATCAGGGATATAAAGATCTCTTTCCACTATACACTTTTCACTATTTTATACTGAATAACATAAACAATGATTAAGCAAAGCTAGAAGAAAATAATCAGCTGCTTTTTTTTCAGATTGTTTCTTTAAATCAAAATACTGTATGTCAGAGGCTAAAACTACCATGACACCTTCTTTTCATTTAGCTACACTCAAACCTACTGTGCACAAGTGGATAATTTTTAAACAGATAATAGAATAGACCCAGTACTAAATGTAAATCCCGAGTCATCAAATGTACAGATTAATAAATGGAACTATTAAATTGTATTGCCCTAGGTCTATACTGAAATACTTTCTTAAGTCAGTTCATATACCATTTACCATTTACCATATACCAATTGTTCTTAGCTTGGAAGTGCATTGATTGAATATATCCATAGCAAAAAAGGCTGTGTTAATCTCTCTAAAACAGATACTGCAACATATCCTGATTAGTTTTCCTGATTTTCCTAAACTTCACAAGTTTATGGCTGCCCTTTGCTGGGAGCAGAAGGCTTAACCTCCCACCCCCCCTTTCCCTTTCCTATTTTGTTTTTTGTTTTTGTTGTCTTACGATGGGTAAATACCAAGCCAGGCTATATTTGGCTGATCTAAAAAATAATCCTAATTTTCATTATGAGAATATACACTGAAATTGCAATCTCTGTATAACCTATTGCAGATGAGTAGCTCTTTCGTATATGCTTTGTTTCTATGATAAAATCCAGCTTGTTCTCTGTTTTAATACAGAAAATAATTTAAATATTTAAAGTCAGATTATATATCAGTGGAATGATATATAACGGTCAGTTGGCAGTGTAATAATGTATCCCTTGAAGGATTTTAATTCAAGCCTCTCTGACATGTTCTTATTATAGAAACAGTTTCAGTTATATTGGCTGAGTATTGTGCTTATGCTGGCAATCTCCTGAGTTACTCTGTAGCTGGCAAAAGAGGTTAGTGTATACAGGTCATTTTGAAAGATATACCTAACATCTGAGCTAGTGGGGAGAGCCATGGCTTCTTGTCTCCTACATAAAATAATACACATAGATAAAGAATATTTGCTTATGGATTTAGCTCTGCTCATCAAAGGTATGGCTAACCTCCTATTGATACTCAGCAAATGCACAAAAGGCTAAATCCTTATTCCAAATGAGAAATCCCCAACCAATTGCTTATTTTTAGAGTAGATACTGACTTTCAAAGAGGGTTCTTAATCAGTGGTATGTATAGACCACAGGTTACCTGAAAAGATTGTAGGACGTGGTGTAAGCCACTGATACTCTTAATTTCTAGACTACCATACATAATATAGTAACAGTTATGCAGTCTATGACCATAATAAAATTGAACTGATTCATAATAAGAGAATGCCTGTAAACACACAAATGTCCTTCTTGGGGAAAAGTGTGTGTTTGTATCATGCTGGGATCCAGGTTTTGCTAAAGTAACTAGAGACCAAAGTCTGAAAATCATTCATTTACAAGATAATCTGGCCATTGCAATTTAGCTGTTGTTCATGATGATGAGGTTTAGTCTGTAACTAAAGATGTCAATTCTGGTATCTTTTGAGCTATACAGCAAGGTTCCTGGACATTCATTGATAGAATGAGTATCAAGGAATTAATTCACAGATGGCTAAATATTGTCACTGTGTTCCTTGAGGGATATCAAGTACACTGCAAAAAAGGACCTGTCAAAAATGCCAGTATAAATGTTAGAAAACCAGTGTTATTTTAATATGCCTAACTAGCTCCCAGCTCCAAATTTCACACTGTGGTTTCTATGGTTTCAATTACTTCTAGTTCACACTGTGAAGGTGATAGAAGGGGACACTCATCTGGCTCCCAGCTACTGTCTGGACTATAATCCTCTTCTGAACTTAGCTCTGCTCCTTCTTCTGTGTCTTCGTCACATGACTCTACATAATGAGCCCCAACAGCATTGATCCCAGAATCCTCAGAACTGGAAGGGGATGAGCAATGATCTATTTTTGGTGTGTTATTCTCTCTCAAAATTAAGGCATTGCGTGTGGGGACCTCCTGGGGCTTCAACTTATAGGAGAGAGCAGGAGGTTGCCTCTGCACATAACACATCTTCCCATTGATGCATTTCACACGGTAATTGTCAATAAAGAGGTCTGAAATTGTGCAAAACCGTGGGGAGTCTGGTGGTAATGGGGCTTGGAAGACAGGTGCAAACTTCAAAAAGTGTTCTGTGAGGGAGACAGCTATCTGAATAGTGTTTATGGTTCCTCGAGGCCGAATAGGTATTTCAGTACTTGGAAGTTGTTCTACTGGAGTCATAGGCTGATAAACATATTTACCTGAAAAAAATATGAAAAGAATTATTACAATTAAAATTTACTTTATAGAAATTAATTAGATCATGAAAAAAATGCTATTGAATGCCAGATGCCGAAACAAGCTTATAGGCCTCCTGAAGGCATCTGGCTGGCAGCTCCTTAGCATTTTTCCATACACTTATCATTTGTTTCCTCTCAGTCAAGAAAATAAATATTCTATAAAATAGTAGATTCCCCCTTCCGCCCCCCCTCCCCCTTGACATTCTTTCATTTTAGACAAATTGTTATACAACTAAGCCTTTTGTCAGTGTTTTTTTTTCCCTTTATGCCACCAGTGGTGGTTGTGGCTGCAGTTGTTAACAAGACATTTTAAGACAGGAAATGAAGAGATTTTAAAGCCGTGAAAGCCACTAGTATTCTGATAATTAAGCCAAGTAAGAAGAAAATAGGATTGCATTGACTATGCTGTATAAAAGCATGATCAAGGAAAAGGATATTGAAATAAAAAAGAACCATCAATCAATTGCAAAAGGCAGCTTTACTTGGAACAGCTTACATTCTGGGAGGATTTGCAGAATAAAAGAGAAAGAACTGGAGAAAATCATAGAATACAAATACCTGCAAATAGGATGCCTGTAGCAACAAAGCAAATATAATACTAATTGTAACAGGCACCTCAGATGCAATCCCAAAACATCAGGAACACCACTTAATGCCTTAATCAATTGACAAAATCACCATCAGTTGCAAAAGGCAGCTTTACTCGGAACTGCTTACATCCTGAACATACCTTTAATGCCATCAAACAAAATCTGCCTATCCCTGGTCCTTGGGAAGGGCTCAATACAATCTAAATATCTGGCTGACTGTATAGTGAACACAGAGAGAACTGGGAATGAATAATTTTCTGTTGATATTTCAGGGTTCTCTGTCACCACCAGAGTTGCTCCTTGACTAGCAAGTAATGCCTACCAGGGGAGCAGATTCATAACTTGGAGCTCCTTCTGGCCTCCCAGCCCCTGCTGGAACAGCAGCTACGTAGAAACTGTGGCCAAAGAGGACTATGCCCATGTTTGGTAGTGCATGAGTTGCAACTTGCAACTCTACCTGAGGTAGAAGTGTTTACCTACAGTAACTCATGCTCTTATTATTACCTAGCTGGGCTTCTGTAACATGTTATATTTGGCTCTATCCTTAAAAACTTGTTAGAAATTACAATTGGTCCAAAATGGTCTCACAAGCTTTCTGGCATTGTCAGGAACATATAATATTGATTTTGCAGATCCTTCATTGGTTGTTAATTGGTTTGCAGGTACAATTTAAAGTACTGGTTTTAACTTATACATCCCTTTAAGACTCAGTGCCATCACCTCCTCCAACCAATATTGTCTGAACAATTAAAGCAAAGGGAGGAACACTGTTATTGTTCCCACATTTTTGGGCGGTGTGAGCTATTGCAGTGAAAAGGTACTGCTTTTCCATGGTACTTTGACCCTATGGAACGGCCTCCTGGTTATATTCAGAATAGCCCCCTCCTTGTTGATGTTTCAGAAACTTTAAAAGGCAGAGTTGGTCTTCTCCCGATTTGATCATACCATCTTTACTTTCTGTTTGTATTGTTTGTAGCTTTATGTTTTGACAGTATAGTTTTATTGTGTCTATGTATATTATTACACCATGAATGTTTACTTGAGTTTTACAATCTGTATAAGCAGCTGAGAATCTCTGGATTACAGTTGGAGTAAAAACATGAAAAATAAATGGAGAGTAGGAGTGATAACTTCCAGAATCTGGAAGCAAGAATGATAAACTGTGCAGAGGCAGTAGTAGTAGATAGAGTTATTGCTGATTTTTGTTTCTTTTCAATAGAATCATATACTTCTGCTTATGTATGTAGCCCTTCTTATTATATGTTCTAAAAAAAAAACCTTCAATACCTAGAAGGAAGTAATGCCAGTGCAAGCAACATTATGTAAAGCACAGAAAAGTATAAAGTAGTAGTATTTTAAAATAAAATAATAAAGGGTGATACAATAAAAGGAAAGGGAAAAAATAACAATGTAATTTACACAACCGATTGCTATATTTCTCTATATCTTCAACTTTTTAATGTAATTTTATTAAAATGTTTAAATAAAAAGGTAAAGACTGAAACAAGCAATATAAAGTAAAGAGGAAAAAAGAAAAGAGAAAGAAAAAAGTGCAAGAAAAAAAGTTCAAATTAGAAATGAAAGAAGGAATAAGATGCAAAGAAGCGGCTTCTGATGGTTTTCATAAGCAATTATAAATAGAATTCACTCTATAAGGTTACATCAAACCTATACTATTATTTTTATAATCTGTCCTAATCATCAAAACCCTAAATCCCAAAATCATTTTTCTAATTTTATCCAGAAAGTCTGTAAGTGGCTACCAGTCACCAATAAATGTAAATAATAACTTTTCCCCAATCAACAAAATCAATTTATTAATATTAGCAAAATTGTGTCAACATTTCTCTATACCTTCCTATCCTTACAAAGCATCCCTTTTTCCAGCATGTCCAAACATCAATTCATTTACATTTCTTCACTTCTCCTTGAATATGTTATCAACTTCATCCCAACATAACTTTCATTATATTCCTCTTCCTCTGAAACCATTTGGTCTTCCTTCATTAATTTGTTTTAGGGTTTGGTTGTCATTCATTCTGTCTAAATAATTAAATGAACTCATTGCATTTATTTTGCATTGGTCCCTCACTTTTATATCTTCAGACCACATTCAGAAATTATTATTTTATATGATTTGATTTAACACACACTGCTTAATAACATATTCTTACTGGGTTCATTTTTTTGGTTTCTCCTAACATACAAAAAACATACGTTACATAAAAATTGGACAAAATCATAATTCTGCTCAACATCTTCCCAGACACACTTAATAAATTGAACCTCCTGTTCCTGAGCTTTTTATATTCACTCATGCTCTCCCCAATCTCTCAGAGCAGTAATCACATTCCTCAATCATCAAATATAAATAGTCTTGACACACATATTAAACAAGATACACAGTTATAAGCAAACCACATCCATATGTCAACTTTTCTTCAATTACAACAGCCATGCTTGTAGTCTTAAAATTAATTGTGTATGGCTTCTCTTTCAATATTTTACTTCTTGGATACACTAACACATTTGCATCATTCTTTTTAGTTCTACTCTTTTTCAATCCTGTTTCCATGTCTAACATACTCCCAGCAGGCATATCCTCACTTCAGTTTCATAATAATTTTTTTACATTTTAACTCTAGTCCCTCTGCTGAAGTATTTAGTTCTTTCATCCACTTCCCAAAGTTTTTTTTCCCATCAAAAATGCTATACTGTATTTTATATGCATCATTCAGTTTTAACAGTCTTTGCTCTCTTTGACTACTGTGCGTTCTTTGTAGCTATTCTTTCTTTTTCTTCCTAGCATTTTGCCACAAGTGCAGGTTTTTTTTCCTTTTCCTGGATCAAAACCAAGTGTCACTGAGCCTCACTCTCTCATGGCCTGAGACAGAACAACTGGTCCAAAGTCACCTTGTTGACTTCCATGCCTAAGGCAGAATTAGAACTCATATTTTCTTCATTTCTTACCTAGTGCCTTAACTGCTAGAACACCACTACTAGTCTTTCTACTCTGCAGTTCTCTCTATATAGAATACACAATGTATTTCTCTTAAACTTAAACATTAAATATTAAACTTTAACTTTAACATTTTTTTTCATATTTCCATTCATTCTGTTGGGTAATATTTTAACAGGTTTTCATACAAGAGTCATAGTTTCTCTTCCTGTTGTCATTCTGCTTTTATCTTTAATTTCTTTCACTTCCTTTTCTTCCACGTCCCTTTTTCATTCAGTTGTATCCATAACACAGGCAGCATTTCCTGCTGACAGGGCACAATAGCAGTCCGTTTATGCACATTTGGTCGGAATGGCACTGAAATTGTTTCACCCCACAGTTCAATAGAAGGCTCCAATTTTATAATTATTTAAAATAACTGTAATTGTGCACGGTAATTTTTAAATTTTCAGTAGAAAAGCTCCTATCAATAAAAAGAATTGTGTAGGTATTTTATTATTCTCCTTTTAATGGATTTTCTGAAAAGAAAACTGATGGAAGAAGCAGGGGGAAAACTGGGAGGGTTACAGATGGAAAACAACTTTGCCTGAACCACTGTTAATTTTTGTGAAAAACATAGAGTATTTGTGTAATAAAAATCTTGTGAGGAAGCACCTGTATAATCATTAAGCCTACGCAAATAATAGAGCATACCAGCTAGGGAATTCTGGGCACTAAAGTCTACACAACTTAAAAGTTGCCCAGTTTGACAAACACTGATATAAATTGTCCACATAAACGACAATTATCTTTATTCTTTCATGATAAGAGAAAGATGACAATTGACTATCTGTTTACCATCCAACAGATGGCACTACACATTTTATTTCAGATTGGTAAAAGTGCATTCTACACGATCACAGTTCCTTCTTTTTGTTTATAACTGAAAATGCTACCCTTTGCTTTTAGGGAACATTTGACAAACACGTGATATGGAAAAACAGACGTTAAAAACTGTAATATATATAAAACAAAAAAATGTAGCTTAGTGCAGGTACCTAGAAAAACAAAATAAAACTATTCTTGTCTGGTGGCAGGATAATGAAGTGGCTACCAGGCAAGAATCACTGGAAAATAGAAAGACGTCCAAATGCAGGGGTTCATCATCAAGAAGACCTTCTCTCTAGTTGCCAGTGGGATATTCTGATGACCGAGGGCAGCTGGTAGAGTACATTTTGATAATGACCCAATATAAATGCATGCTCATTCTGATATTGTAGAATTTTGTAGAAACTAAGGGTATGTTTTCTGATCTGATAGCAGAAGATGACACTGAGAACATACTGATTCAAAAGTAACTCTAAGAATAGCAGACATATGGCTACAGCTTGTGAAAATCTGGGTTTGTTTATAAACCCCTCCAATAACTAGAT